CCCCCTTCCCTCCTACATGTCACCTATGGCAGGAATAGAGTATCTGGCTTGGTTCTGATCTCACTTATGCTGGTGTAAATCAAAATAAACACCAGTGAAGGCAATGAAGCAATATATGGGTATAACCAGTATGGGGCAAATCAAACCTGGGTCCTTCACATTTTAAAGGAGAACCTCTTCCAAAGGAGGATGGTGATTGTCTGGTCTACAATGAACAGCTTGTCGCATGAGCCAGAGTCATGGTGTACATGAAGAGCCTTGCTTGGGCCAATGCTGTACCTGTATGGGGTGAGGATATTCAGTGGTGGAGGCTTGTCACAGCGCTGGTACATTTCCATCACTGGGTTGGGGATGGAGTTCCGAGAGACCACCTGCTGGTTCTGCACAGTCGAGCTCTTGAATGCCTTCCGCATGTTGATGTCCTGCAGCGAAACTGTAAGTGCAAGAAGGAAACTTTAAGGAACCAAGGAACAGAGTTAGGGACTACTGCCATTTATGTTCTCACCACAAACCTTACAGCATTTGCTCAGCATCCATGCTCTGAGGCTGGCCTTTGCTTCTGGCACCCAGCCATTGCAATGCATCCTATCCTTTACACTCAACCTTTGGCATTTGGGCACTGCTCTGTGGTCTGTGCTCAGCACCTACATTGCCCAGCTGATGTTCTCAGCCTGTGCCCAGTACTCATGTTACACCCCTATCTTAAATCAAAGCCATTCAAAATGTTAACCAAATTAAATGGTATTAGCTCATGTATAGAAAAAACATGCCAGCTTACTGGATGCTAATGGTGCCCAGAGCATCACCATTTCCACCTCTTTACTGCTTCACTCTGAAAACCAAGCCCTTGGGAAGAATTCCTGAAATCCCCCACAGTTGCTCACAGTCTCTTTCACCCTTTCTCATCAGCCTTTGCCTATGCCTCTCCTGTGTGTAGGCACAAGAGGCAGAACTGTAGGGTAGGGAGAGGGAAATCAAGCCTCCAGCACAGCAGCTTGAGCCATCAAAAGCTTTGCCTCTGCCAGGCTGACATGCCAGCTCGCCTGCAAGTTGTGCTGAGGGAGCTCCCACTGAGTGGAAAATAGCAGTGGGCACAGGGAACAGATCAGAGCTCACGCATAGTCACATATGGTGACAGCCCTCCTAAGAGGTCTCACCGTCTTCCTTCTTTTGAAGGGAAGTGGACGTCTTAATCCTTGAGTTTTGGGTCACAGTAGGCACATGAAATTAACGTGACAGAATAAACTCTGGCACAGTTCACACCAGAGTTTAGTGCTCATAAGCACAGCGTTTACACATGCACCCAGGACCGCAGCATGTTAAGCCAAAGCTGCATAGCCCCAGCTGGCAGGGGACCCTGGGGGTCAGCCTGTCAGCCTGGGGCTGCTCTGACTTGGAGGGGCTGGTTAAGGCATGAGGAGCTCCAGTGCAGGGCTAGCCAGTAAGCAGCCTTGCACGGTAGCATCTGTGTGCCCTAGCCAGTCCCGTCAGCGTCTACCCTTGCACTGCCATAAAACAGTACTTGTGTTTGGCATTACTATCCTATGGTGGAGTCAATCAGTTTACTCCATTCTAATAGCACCACATGTATGTGATGTTTTCCTGTGGAGCTAATTAATCAACTCTGTAATAAATGCCTCATGTAGATGTGTCCGTGAGAGCTGTGGAATTGCTTCAGGCAAGCACAAAAAGAAATTCCCTGTTAGCATAAGCTGTCTGGACCCACTGCACATTACAAAGGCTAAATGGCTAAGGAAAGACAGACTGTACCCCTCTGCAGCAGTGTGCTGTACTCCCTTAACCACACACGCCATGTACAGAGGCAGCTCCCAGCTCCTAGGTAAGTCCTCTTTGCACACAGCAGTGGAACTTAGAAAATGCCCCTCCTGGTGACTGAGGGTCCTCACATCTCTCACCTCCATAAGTACTTTTGAAGTGTGGTCTACTATATTTGTGTGTCCATCTCCCCGATTTATCCATAAAAAGTTTCCAGCACACCCCATCCTATGCTTTTCTCCCAGGCCAATCTTATGCAACAAGCTGACCAAGCCACTGCATGTGTTCTCTCTACTCCCAAACAAGACAACTGTTCACACATTTGCCTGCAGTATTTTCTCATCACATATTCAGCAAGGGAGGCTACAGAAGCAACCACTAAGGCCACAGGAGGTGGAGATGTAGCCTGAAAGGAAGGGGTGGGGACTGTTTTGATCTTCTCTTCAGTTATCATTCAGGGGTACTGACAGACTGTCCAGTTCTCCTTGTCCAGGTGAGTATTTTCTGTGATCCCAAGTGAAAAGTGACTCACTGCACTCTCAGCTAAAAGACAGGACCTGTGAGGAGTGCTGACAAGTTACTTGCATTTCAGGAATTTAGTGAAATAAATAACCATAGCAACTGTGACATCCCAAGGTGCTGCCTCTGAAGCAGTACAGCATAGGAAAGATCAGCTTAAAGAACACACAACAAAAGGAAAAACACAGGCCATAAGAATGGCTTCTAGCAAGCTGAATTCAGCATTCACCATTTAGGATGTGGTGTTAGTCTTGAGTTATTGTTTTCTGCAGTTCAGGCAGCAAAATGCTTGGGAGTTATTCTTTGCACCCAAGTAATTTCAGCAGGCTAGAGAATATACCACCTCCTTTCCCCGCTCCGCCCTGCCATGATCTGGATCACTTCTGCAATCAACCTCTTATTGTCAGGGCTGTTCTAATTTCTGCTTGGCTACAATAGCCCCAAGAGGCTGTTCCATCAGCTAAGAATAGCTCCTGTGGCTGTGACTTTTATTACTCAGGGTTAAAAGATCAGGGGCTTAAAACAACAGAGTTTTGGAAAGGATATAAAAGCTTTAGGGACAACTTTTAACTAAGAAGATGGGAGGAGAGGGGGGAGAGAGATTTTCCCTGCGAGCTAATTACCACATAACTGAACTGCACAGAAACTTTTGTACCTTCCTCTGTGGCAGCTGGCCCTGTCTACTGCTGGTGACAGGATGCTGGGCTAAGTGGACTAGGGCAGGGGTTGTCAACCGGGGATACGTGTACCCCCAGGGGTACTTAGAAATCTTGTACGGGGTACACAAGGACAGGCAGGAGGGTAGGGATGGACCGTGCCCCGGTGTGTTTGCCTCTTATCTGGGACAGGGATGCACTGGGTGCTGCTGGCCCCACACAGCACACCACAGCACCTCCCTGCCCCCCACCTCAGCTCACTGTCCTGATTGGCCACTACCCCCCGCAGCAGAGCTGTGAGGGTCTGAATGGAGGTGGGGGCACAGAGGGGGAGCACGTTTTGTGCCCGCCCCTGGCTGCGCACAATTGGTCGGGCACAAGGCCCATCAGCAGCCCTTGGAGCCACAACCAGCCAGGAGGAAGTGGCATGGCGTGTGGCCAAACAAGGCAGTGGCAGTGGCAGCCAGGTGCGAGCCCCACCCCCGTTCGCCATCCCTTCCCAGCACCACTGCTCTGCATGCCCCCAGGAGGGCATGGGGAACATATGCCCCAGATCAGCACCCAGTGCAGGGCAGGCTGTGGGCCGCTGCAGGCTGGGGTGTTCCTGGTGGGGGTGTTGGGCCAGGCTGCACTAGGAGGTTGGGGGGCTACAGCAAATTTTGGGGTGGCTGCAGACCCTCCCATAGCCCCACTCCCAGCGCCAATGCTGGCTCGTCCAGGGATGCAGATGGGTGGCTCCCACCACTGTGTGCACCACAGGGGAGCCCAGGGGGGGCATGTGCCCCCTTCCTGGGCTCCTCCACACCATGCCTTGGGCCCCAACTGTCCCATGACCTGGCCTGTCTGGGGCACCATTCCCGGTGAATGGGGCCCCGGCCAGTCCAGGTTGTGGGACAACCCCCACATTGCAGAAGGGAGTGGGGCAGGGGTGAATGATTTGCCCCTGCCCCACTCCCTCCTGCACTGTGGGGGTCTTGAGCTCCAGCGCCACTTCCTCCCTCACCACCATGTGGGGAGGGGCAGATTGAGGCCTCTGTGGTGAGGGAGGGAACGGGGCAGGAGGAGGGGCCAGGGTAAGCAGGGCTCCAGGGGCTAGGGTGAGCGAAACACCCCCAGGTCTCCGCTTGTCCCACCACCCAGCCCAGCCAGGGCCCCACTCCTGCCTGTGCCCTGCTCCCTCCCTCACTGTCGAGGTCTCAATCTGCCCTCCCTACCCCACCCCCCACCCCTTCCCACACAGACTTACCTGCTGGGGGGTGGGGGCCCCCCAAATAATGTTTTCTCCCTCTGCCTTTGCAGAGCCTGCCCCAGCCCCACTACCTCCCTCACGACGGGGCCTCGATCTTCCCCCCACCCTTTAAAAGCAATAAAAAATATAAAGGGCTACATGAGCTGAAACTTTGAGACAGAAGAGGTACACTTGTTAAAAAAGGTTGAAAACCCCTGGACTAGGGGAATTCAATAGCTGTTCCTAACTGCCTCCATGTTGGTGGCTGAATACCTGCCAGAGAACACCTTTCTCCTGTGCTTTCATCTAGCTCCTTCACATGTCCGGAGCAGAATCAGGAGTCAGGCCTGTATATTTTGCTCTTAAAATACCCTTTTAAAATTTCCACACACACACTGTGTTCCTTACAGAATGGCATGTTTTGCTCAGTGTTGAAATTATGTACTTCCTTACTTACTGCCTCCCTAGCTATAAACTTATTTGGCTGTGGCCATCACAGCCTTAGCAGCAATATGAATACATTTCTGTTTAAATGGCCACTAAGGCAAGAGTTTAATAACCTCTCTTTCTTTGGATTGACTCTCCATGAGCTGGTCTCCTACCAGAAGTAGAGAGGAAGAACAGGGCGAAGTTTGAAATTTCTACCAACTACCAGATCCCACAGCCAGACTAAAAGAGATGAACAGAGACAGCTCCTACTGACCAGCTCCATCTTACCTTCCTCCACAGTGGAGTCCAACTGAGTGACCTTGATCACCAGCAGATCCACCCTCTCCTGCAGGGAGTTCATCCGCATGTAGAAACTATTGGCTTCATTGAACAGTTCTCCAAATATGTCTTCAGCATGTCTGCCTTAGAGAACAAAAGAGAATGGGGGTGTCCACATAGCTCAACAGAGAAATAACTGATTTAGTTGTAAAGGAAAACAGAGATAAATGTAAGGACTTTCCTACAAGAACACCTAGACAGAAGACAAGTTTAGCCCAATACATGCCTGGCCTTCCCATTTGTTTTCTATGATATTGTCTGCATCCCCAGCTATTCTTTTCCAAGAGCCTCCAATTTGCTCCCCTCAGTATGTGCAGTGCATTCCTGCCAAGAACCTGGGAGACACTGAACAGAGGCAATGAAGACACTCACATGGTCTTGCTGCTTGCAAGAATCCTTCTGTATTTTGAGTGTGCCCCAAAGTGATCTCTTTCAATGGCCAAAACAAGTGCTAATGAAAGAGGGGAATACGTGCAATGGAAAAGATTTCTTCTTATTTACTCAACATTGCCCCTGTCATTTTCACATATAACTTATATAAGTTATATAGAGCATACATGGAGTGTTTCTTTTGTTATAAGCTGACTGGTGTGTGGGTGTAGGTATGTGCATGTGTGTATACCAGTACCCTCTCCTGAACAGAAGCAGAATATCCACCTTATGCTGCCTGCTAATGACATGTTCTCATTGAGCTCAAAGGAGAACTCTTCTTTTCAAGCCCAAAGAAACTGATTCTCTTGTCTAATACTGCCATGAAGTTCTCAGGGGTCAGGATGGCTGCCACCAAAACCAACCCATCCTTGTGCCCATGAACTGGTTGCATTATAATCAAAATCAACAGCAAGCTGTTGTGTACAACCCAGAGTGAATCAGGTGGCCATGGCCAAAACAAGAAGGAAGTGGCACAGGATGTGATTGACCAAGGTCACAGGAGATCACTAGGAGAGCTGGGAATAAGAATAAAACCAAGGCATGTGTAGTTCCAGTCCCACTGGAGAACACTGCCTGTGTCCAACAGAGGGGATATAAATTGAACTGGTGTAGCCAATCCAAGTGTTAATCTATGTGTGTGTGTGTGTGCGCGCGTATGCGTTCAGTTTAGTTGCTTTGCTAGGGATCTCTTGTGCTGCTGAGAGCTGTATTGTTCTCTGTAATATCATCCATCTCAATTCAAGTGCCCTGAAAGAATTCAGCTTTGAACGTACAAAAAATTACACTAAGCTTGAGTCAACTGCATAGAGGAAAATGCCCACTACACATTTAAGCTGAAAGACCCTAAATTAAGGCTGCTTATCTTATTTCACAGTTCATCTTCCACTGTGGGAAAGGTCTGAGTCACTCACATAATGCTTTTCAGAGCACTACTGTCACCTGCAGGTGAGAATCATATTGAGCATGATGCATTTAATTAGAGCTCCCTCTCTCACTTTTTTCTTCAGCTTTAAACATAGTGCCTTTAAAATGACAGTCATGAGCTGCTTGCTTCAATTTCAAGGAGCAAAAGCTCCTTGTGGTTTTACATCAAGGAACTTAAAATGTAAATGGACACTTCATTAACAGCAGATCCTGTGCTCTGTCGCTTTCTATCTGATACAATCAATTCAACCAAGCTTAATGTAGCTTTGGGATTATTTTTCATTTCCATTCTTTCTGATGAGCCGAGCGTGTGTGTGTGTGTGTGTGTGCGCGCACACACGTACGTGAGCACGCGCGCACACACGTACGTGAGCACGCGCGCACACAATGCCAGGTCATATTTGCATAGAGAACTGGATGCTTTGCTGGTCACATGTCTTTGCCTAGAGCAGCTACAATACACTAATCTCAAAATAAAACACTGTAGCAAAAAGACCGTGTAGCTAAGGAACATATGGTGTTGGCTTCTGACCGCACTCCCCCTGTGTGGTTCATTACTATCAACTGTTGGGCTCTGAAAAGCTCAGAAAACATTCACTGCAGTTTTTTATATACAAGTGAATTTAATGCTAATGAAAGATATGAGGCTGACAGCCCAGGAGAACTCAAGGCTTTTGTATATGGACTAACTGCATGTACAATAAGCCTGGGTAGCCACAGTGTAGGCTTGCCCCAGAGAAAGTAGATGAGAAGCAAGTTCATTGTCCACATCTTACTTTCTCCTTAGCCTCTGTGCTGAACTTAAAGGGACTGAGGATGTGGGAGGAGTTAGTAAGCTAGATCCCTACCAAGAACTGGGAAGTCCCCTCAAAATTAATTTTGCAGAGGGTAGTGATTAACTGCCAGAGAATAACAACATGAGAGCCCATCTGGGCCAAATTCACGTTGCGATTCTGGAAATAATTGGTTCCAGAAGTCCATCACTGATCCCCTAAATTGTTTAGTGTCTTGTAATGGGCTCTACAGCAAGGCAGCAAAATCTAGTATTCAGGTCATTAGACTGGAAGTCCAGAGACCTAGATTTTATTCCCAGCTCCAAGAAATCTTGGGCAGGTCACCACATCTCTCTAGATCTCTCTTCACCCATTTTTTACTTTCTTACATATTTAGAAAGTCTAAGCTTTCTGGGGAACAGACTGACTCTTGGTACTTGTATGTACAGTGCCTGGCACATCAGAGTCCTGATCTTGGCTGTGGCGCCTGGCACTACTGGACCAGACATAATCAGAATAACTGAGAAAAAATATTATAAATCTGAACAGTGAGAAAATGGTAATCATGTAAGTTACTCTTAGATAAAACAATGCATTATTCATTTACAGTCATTACTGAAGCAAAAATACACCTAGTGCTTTAGTCAATATTTTCAAGTCCTGCCTTGTAGATAAAACAGGGGCCCTTCCTACTTGGTGTAGATCCCATAATTTAAGTTTTACTAGTAGAAAAAAATAAATCCTGGCAACATTGCTATTCACGGCAGGCGCTATGTGCCAATGAAATTACTACACTCAGCTATTCTGTGGTACTGGACACTCCACAGAGAAGTGCATTTCCCTACATCTGAAACCCAGGATGGGAACCTGACAAGAAGCCAGGGTGAATGTGACTAAGTAAGCTGGTTTCTCTGTCGAATCGTAGCAAAGTACAAAGGAAAGGAAAGAGCCTCCAGGGTGCACAGCACATGTAAATGTTTGGATTTGGGTCAGTCACAAAAGGTGCTGCTGCACATAAGGATTTGTAAATTTTTTTCTTGAATCTCAGCAGCAAACACTTCTGTAAGGTGGGCGAGGGGAAGCTGACACACACTGCTTGGCCATAGGAAAATTGTTTGTTTGGTTCAAGACTGCCCAATAACTTCCAGAGGGACTGCTTTTCTGTCACTGAAAGGCTACCAGAAATGGAAGCATAACTAGGAATGGGCCCTCGGCATCAGTTCAGAGGGGGGCACCAGAACAGCTGCCCCTGGGGAACTCTGCACCACTGCAGTAACAGCAGCCAGGTACAAGGACACCGTACTGCTGCTATAGCAGCAGCAACAATTCGGCACAAGCAGCCTGAGTCCCCAGGGCAGGTAAAACTCGCCCCCACACATCCACCCACATCACTCTCAGGCACTTGGCACCCCTCTCCAGCAGAGTTTTGCCCAGGACACAAAGCTTCACGGTTACACATCTGATGAGAGCTAAGGAAGGATTAGGTAAAGAAAAAGGGCATTAGCAGCACTGTGTTTGTTGAGCGTTAGCCCTACCAGTTTCAAGCATGCATGGAGAACTGACCAAGCAGTCAAATTCAGTGTTTGCCAGCATAAAAACTCCTTGGGATTGGATGCTTATCTTGCTGGGATCCTATGACCCCAGCTGACTTCCTGCCCTTCGGGCGGGGGGCTGGACTGGATGATCTTCTGAGGTCCCTTCCAGCCCTAATGTCTATGAAATCTATTAAATCTATAATAAGCATCCTGCTCTGAACTGTCCCCACACACTGCATATTGGCGATGCACCTAAACAAAACTCACAGATGTAGCACAGATCTGTAAGATTTCAAATATTTTTCATTTTCTTTGTTTATACAATACTTGTGCCATGAAAACCTCTTCTCCCAGTTCCACCAACACAAAGCCAAGCTGACACCATTGATTTCAGAAGCAGAACTGAAGCCAAATTTAGCCTGTAGTCTTTTGCTTTAGGTTAGTGCTATTCATTGGTCCTGCTCTGGCCCTCATTAAAGTCAATGGAAGCTTTATGGCTGACTTTAACAGGATCGTGGTCAGGGCTGCCCAGTATCAGTTGCACTGCCTATGCCATTTTCTTGAGCTCTTTGTGTTGTTTCATCCTTTGGCTGAAAGAAAAATGTAAGATTATGAATGGCACTAGAAGTAGAGGGGAACTTCCCCAGGAATTCAAAAAGGAAGAAGTCTGGTTAAAAGGCTCTGAGGAAAAGAACTGTGCTCATTACCTATTAAGTATTTACATTTTGTAACATGATCTGCACCACTATAGACCTGACCTTTCACAAATGAGAAAAAAGCACCATTTTTAAAGAAGGAGCTCAGCGACATCACACATAAAAGTATCTACATTGCTCAGACAGGCTGTAGCTTGTCCCAGTCAAAAGGTTGTTAAATATCACAGACACACTTCACCAAGGCTGTTCATTTTGGGTTTGCACTTCACCCAGCTTGCCCAAAGAAACAAACCCACTCAGTTCCCCCATCTCTAGATTGGAGCTTTGTTTTTATATAGCCAAATGTATGTCCATGGCTCAATAGCAGAAAAAGGTACCCTTCCTCCTGCTGTTATGTTTCTTTTAAGCATGATTTCCTTAATTACAAAAATCGTTCTGCTTTTACTAGTTGTTATCTAAAAAGTTCAAGTTAAGCACTCATTGAGGGGGGAGGCAGTTGTTTCTACGACTGTTCTATAAGGCCCTTTAGAAAAGGAGCAACATTTTATCCTACTAAAATTGATTATTTCCTGATTCTGGACCAGGAAATACCTCAAACATTTAAGCTAAGGGAGCTAAAATTTCCTGTCCATATGGGCCAGGCAGCCATGAAAGGAAGCAGTGCCAGAGTATCTTAAAACAGTGCTGCCTGGGCCTTCAAATGGATAGAGCTCTTTTTTTTTTCCTTGTTATTGTTTTAGCCAAATTATTGGTGGCTTTTAATGTACAGCTCTTTACACAGCCTGCGATTCTTCATAATCCTCAAAATATTGGTAATGAAAATAAAATACAATGATCACTTTGCCCCTCAGGGCTGTATCCAGCTCCCGCTGTAGTGGACTGAAGCCTTTCCACTGCCTTCCACAGGAATTGAAAGTCAGCGGGCCAGATTCCCAGCTGGCACAAGTCCGGGCAGCTCCACTGAGGCCAGCTGACATCCTGCCCTGTGAAGTCCAGAACTGATGATCTGGAGGACAATGAACAAACCCTGGCTCTGACTAGGTCTCCCTCGGAGGAAGCAGACATGCTCTACCATCTGCAACTTACTGAGGCTTCCCAGCTGCTTGATGATGGCAGCCAGGGTGCTGTTGGTTACACATTCCAGCTCACTGGTCACCCCATCGGGAAGCGCCCCACGGCACAGGTGACGAGGCTCGATGTTTCTCTTTACCAGCGGCATGTTTCCGGGGGATTGTCACAGCTTTCCCTGCAAAGAAGCAGAAAGAGGGGAGAAGTCAGCCCGTCTGGAACCCCCTGCCCATCGAAGGAATCCTCCTAGCAGCTGCCCTTTTATCACAGGGAACAGACGTCTCCGTTCAACCTGCCTCCAGCACAGCTCTCAAAATAGGCCTCTGCCATTTGGCTGCTGAAGCAGCAGTTGAGCCTGGCTGGTTGAGCTCTGCTTCCCTTCCTCCTGTGGATCTGTCATGCTCTCACTTCACGCGCTGTAATATTCTGAAGGCTGTGGGCATGTCAATGAATGGCAGCTGACGCGCAGGAGCCGCCAGCCTCTGGGAACTGCCCAGACAATGCGGTTTTGCAGCTCACGGGACTAAGCATGTGTGCAAGATGAGAGCATGCGAACTCACAACTCTCTGACTAGACCCCATTTCCACAGCATCAGCCCATACATGTCCACGCACTCAGAGAGGAGGGTGGGTGGCTGGACCGCCTTCCCATGGAAGGAGCCCGTGCTCAACCGAGGGCAAAGGTTTCTTTCTAGCTGCTTATGACGTTGAATGTTTAAAGCCACAAGCTTTAACAATAGAAGCATAATTCATTTTAAGTGAATTCAGCACTAACGAAAGACACCAGACTGACAGCCCTGGAAACCACACTTCACTCTCCAAGAATAAGTTCAGTAGCAACAGCCACAGGGCAAACCCTTCTCCACCCAGTCCTCCCGGCAGGCTCAGGACATCACCAGAGGGCAGAGATTCCTCATGAGGCTGTGGCCCATTCAGTATTCAGCCTGCCTAGTGAGACACTACCGAGAAGCCCATTCAGTCTTGCTGAGGAAGTCACCTGTATTGAGACCAAACCATCGTCAAACAGTAAGTGCGCCCTGACACTTACCTTACCCGACCTGGATTCTAAGCAGACCCCTGGGACTGTAAAGCTCCACGTGCCCTCACCCAACCCTTGAGCTGTCCCAGCTCGTATCCTCGTCTCTTGAAAAGCCTTATTTGACCCAAACTGAAACCAACCATCGGGCATAATTCTGTTATTTCCAGCTGGGTGGAAATCTCTTTGGTTTTCACTTTTAACAAGCGTGCCACAATCCACCAATGTGAGTTGTCTGCGTCCACCCTGCCCTCCGCCAGCACATCAAGCCTTCAAAGGCATTTTTGTGCGTTGGCTATTTCCAATTGTTTTGTATGTGTTTTGGATCCAAATGCTCCCCCCTTAGCTTTTTCCTCATTTGAACTGGGTTATTGTCCATCCGTTACAAGAGCCCAGCTGCTTAGAATGGAAAGCAGCGCATAAATCCTGCTCACACAGTCTGCCAGTTCAGCGATAGCCCGGAGCAATGAGCACACTCTATTAACTGTTATCATCACACGCTGGCAGGGAACCAAGGGACTGCAGAAGAATCAAGGGGTGTTTAATTTTCTGATGGGTTCAGTGAAATGCTGGGAGATCCCAACGTTAAGTAAACCTTAACAAGCTCATTTCCCATGGCCTCATACCTCCCCTTCCTGACTGTACCATACAAAGTTCCTGTCCTGAGAATCTGCTAATGTAGATGGGACCTGGTTACGATGAACAAGCTGAAACAGTGCAGGACAGATTTGTAAATGGAAGGGCTGGAGAAGCTAATACCTTAATAAGGGCAAGGCTACATCATTAGCATAAAGAACAAATGAGCTAGTGATTGTGGCAAAAATTAGCAAAGTGTCTAGGCAGATATGCATGTGAATATTTAAGCAGAAGGAAAGGACATTTATCATAAGCTAAAAAGTATCTTACTGTATATTATTTAACTAGCATGCCAGCACATTAATTACTTCACAGTCAGTGACAGGGCCCTGTGTTCAGCAGCTTACAACCTCAGGGCCCAATCCTGAGCTCATTCACAACAGTGTATAACAGGCTTTACTACGCTATAGCCCATGGATTTACACTGCTGTAAACCTACTAGGAAAGGAAAATCAGTCCCTGAAGGGACAGTATGGAGGCAAATGAACAGCTCACAAAAAGCAAAGTACTGGAAGAGTGGCATTTAGTTTTCTTTAGTTTCATGATTTTTTGGGAGGGTTTTTTTTTTTTTAAGTAAGCTTTCTGTTGACTGTTTCATCACTCTTTCTTCAGAAAAAGGGGGACTGAGAGCCCAGCATTTACAGACATCCCAGAGAAAGTCAGTGGGGCAGGGAGCTTGTAGGCATGCCGTTTGCAGCACAGTCCAGAACTCAGAGGATGTGGCATTAGCAGTAACTCACAGGCCTGTGGTCATTCCAACATAAAAGTTCTTCTTTTCTTGACTTGTGCACAGCTTTGGGTTACCTTCCATGCAAGGTCAGGGACAACATGGAAATCAGCATTTATTAAATAAGGTGAGCTCATGGGACTGGTGTTGTGCTATGGTGACTCTCACCTTGAGGTCACTGGGTCAAATCCAGCTTAAAATTGGTGATGATCTGACACACTTACACGAGTCCTGTGGCATATGTGAAATAAGTCTAGTCTCAGTTTTTTTTCCCAGTAGAGGCATCCACAGAGCTAAAAGCAGCTATAGCTGCTGACAAAACCTGGATCCCTTGCTGGATAGACTCAATTAAGAATTGAGAGTTGAATAAGCTATCAAAAATGAACTCCCCTTTCACCTCCAAAAGTCACCCTTTTGTTACTCCAGGGCACAGGTAAGGATTCTTGCTTCCACCATTTTTCAATGATCTCCCAAATCTTGGCTGATACAGGCTTGAGTACAAATACATCATTCAAGTGATTTCAACCAAGCTTACTGAAGAGCTAGCCATCCCCTGTTGCTTTGAGAGCAAGAATGAATCCCAGCAATCAAAAGATCATCTTTTTGCTTTACATTGGTAAGCATGTTCAAGATGTGCTCCAAAGCATCATCATAAAGAAATCTCTTCTGCTTTTGCATGACTTGCACTGCACAAGAGATTAATGGTGGAAGGAAAGAGCTTACATCTACAAATGTTCTCTTTCTGTGTGTGTGTGTATGCGCACACACACACACACGTGCATGCATGTGTGCAGTGTGTTAAACTCCATTTTAAAATAATTTATTGTTTTGTACCTGAAGATATATAATTGGCCCAGCTGAGCTTAAGATTTGTGGAGCCTGAAGTTTCCAGACAGGCAGATTCAGTTATGAGTTAATTCTCTCTCTGAACCCAAGCCAAAAGGAGCTGAACAATGAATTATCTCTCCTTGCCATGGAGGGTTGTGAGCTGAGGGGAAAAGCAATTTCCTCCAACCCCACTGGTAGGATACAGCCAGCCTGTGAAGTGGGAGCCTGTGCACAGCTCCAGACAATTGTTTACATTGTTTGCAATTAAAGCTGGTCCTGACAATAAGATAATAAAGGGCTCGGTCCTTGGGCCCACGCCCCAGGGCTCAGTCCTTGGGCCGGTGCTGTTCAATTTCTTTATCAGCAATTTGGACAATGGGGTGAAAAGCACCCTGTTTAAATTTGCTGATGATACCAAAATTTGGGGTTAGGTGAGCACACTTGTAGGGAGGGAAAGACTGCAGCAAGACCTGGATAGGTTGCAGGGGTGGGCCAACAAAAACAAGATGCGCTTCAATACTGACAAGTGCAGGGTGCTGCACCGGGGCAGTAGTAACCAGCAGCACACTTATAAGATGGGAAACGCCCTTCTTGAGAGCACGGAGGCAGAAAGGGATCTTGGAGTCAGTACCAACTCCAAGATGAACATGGGCCAACAATGCGAGGTCACGGTTGGCAGGGCTAACCGGACCTTGTTGTGCATCCACAGATGCATCTCAGGCAGGTCCAAGGAGGTGATCCTCCCCCTCTATGCAATGCTGGTCAGGCCGCAGCTGGAGTACTGTGTCCAGTTCTGGGCGCCGCACTTCAGGAGGGATGTGGACAACATTGACAGGGTCCAGAGGAGGGCCACCCACATGATTCGGGGACTACAGGGCAGACCCTACAATGAGAGACTGCGGGACCTGAACCTGTTCAGCCTTCACAAGAGAAGGCTGAGGTGGGATGTGGTGACCGTCTATAAACTCACTAGGGGGGACCAGAAGGGTTTGGGAGAGACCTTGTTTCCCCTAGTGCCCCCTGGCATAACAAGGAATAACGGCCACAAGTTGCTGGAGAGGAGGTTTAGATTAGACATCCGTAAGAACTACTTCACGGTCAGGGCGGCTAGGATCTGGAAACAACTTCCAAGGGAAGTGGTGCTGGCTCCTACCCTGGGGGTCTTTAAGAGGAGACTTAATGCCTACCTGGCTGGAGTCATTTGAACCCAGTTTTTCTCCTGCCCTGGCAGGGGGTCGGACTTGAAGATCTACAATGTCCCTTCCAGCCCTACTTCTATGATACGATTCTATGATACGATATGACAGGTACCAAGTAATCTGAGCTAGCTTGCAACATATGATACAAATTCTCCCCTCAGCTACACCACTGTTGTCAATAAAGCTAAGTCTCCTGGTTTTGCATCCCAAGAATTCTCATGGGGACACCCATGTTGTTAACAAAATCCAGTTATATTTTTGCAGTCAAGGAAAAACAGCTTACAAACTCAACTGTTAATATGTCAGGGCGAGTAGCACAACACTACCGGTGAGTACCAGGAATTCTGACCAGGTCAGAAGCCAGAAAACTGCAAAGTTCAAGCGTTTTTGGTCCTTCAGTGTTAAGAGGAAAACAGTTTCCTATTAATACCACGAAGTCAATTTTTCTGCCAGTTCCAGAGTCACACTTAACAACTCACCCTTTGTTCAAACAGTGCCAACTGTTACATAGTTTTCAAATGCAAACCGATTTCAGTGGATGCTGCTACACTGCACCACAAAGCTGTTCCTAAATAATTAATACTGTACTTTATTAAGGGCCAAATAGGGATCTTTGGTCTGAAAACAGAAAAAAATCCTGGGGTGGTAAACCACCTTGCAGATCTGACAGTGCAAATTGTCAGACTTTAGGATTTTGTGAGAGCTACACAGCTATTCTGCTGATTCACTGTGAAGGCCAGAATAGGT